TGGCTTCAGCACAGTGATTGTTAGAGTACGGTCCAGAGATCAGCAGCAGCACCTGGGAACTTGTACAAATGCAAGTAATTCTTGGGCTCCACCCCAGACCTACTGAACCAAAAACCCGGGGGTGGAGCCCAGCAACCTGCTTCTGAACAGACCCTCTGGGAGATTCTGATGCTTGCTCAAATTTGAGAACCACTGGTTTGGAAAAGTGGTTCTCAACCTTGACTGGACATTGGAATCATCTGGGGAGCTTAAAAAATCTAATTGTTTGGATCCTAACCATGGAGCTTCTCATTGAACTGATTTGGGGTATAACCTGGACATCAGGATTATTCCGATCTCCCCAGGGGATTTTCAGGTGCAAGGCAGAGAACTGCTGTTCTAGGGAGCTTGCTGAAACACCCATATGCTCATTTCTCCTTGGCAGGGGGAGGGGAGAGGGAGGCATGTGTTCTTTGACAGAGTCCATGGATGGCCCTCTTCCCCTTGGGGAGCGTGACCTTAAGCCACCAGCCTCAAGAAATACCCTTCAATGGGGCTTTTCATAGACTAAATGAATATTCACTCCATGTGATTTGTTTTAAGGGTTGCTTTTAATGCTGTATTTGTTCAGCAAATGTAGGCGCTCTTATAGCACAAATATTAACTCCTAAATCCTCAAAGGCTTTCCCCACGATATGCCATCTGGCAGGCATTATTGTAATCATCTCTTTATTTTCCACACTAATGAAGGACTAGTATGGCATTAGTAATTGAAAAATATACAGATCATTTAAAAATCATTCAGGCTGGTGCCAGTACTGTTTCCCCAACCAGGAAGCACTCAAGAGTGGAAATATTGACTGATTACAGTTTCCTAGATCCCTGTGGAGGTGCTAATACATACTATTTTAGTCAGAAATTTGAGCAATAAGAGAAGCGAGAAGCTTCTAAATTACAATTCCCTTGTCTGAATAAAGGAGCTTGTTTCATTGATGAGAGACGTAACCATAGAACAGGTGAACAGCAAGTATATCTGAGATGCATTTGCACCTTGGAGCAAGTGGGTTGAAGCGTGATGGAATAGCAGCTGAATGGGATTCAAGGAGTTGGTGGGTCTGGATTCTAGATCTTCTTCTGATATTGCCTGTGTTATTTGGGATGAGCCATTCTATACACAAGTGGGTCTCAAAATGTGATCCTCTACTAATAGCATCTGTATCTCCTGGGAATTTATTAGAGATGCAAATTCTTGGATCCCATCCCAAGCCTACTGAATCAGACACTCAGGAGGTGGAGCCAGCAACTGGTGCTTCAGCAACCGCTCTGTGAGATTCAGATGCCTGCTCAAGTTTGAGTGCCACCGTTCTCCATCAGGGACTCAGTTTTTTTAATTTATAAAATAAGGGAACCAGCCTAGATTGTATTTAAGGTCCACTGTAGCTCTCCAACGGCCATGATGTATGGACCCAGAACATGTTTGGAGATTTTCTGTCTTAGAGCTTATACCTTCCCTTCCCTATGTGATTGAAATAGTTCAGCTGAAAAACTGGCATGTGAATAATAGACAAGAAACTGATCTCCAGGAATTAGATACTCAAACTAAATACCCAAACTGCACATAAGGTTCTCACTACAAAATAACTCATGATACCTTCTGCTGGTTGATACCACATTCCCAAATTTAAAAACTCCGGTGTTTTGGAAATGGAAGCAGCCCTTCACCCTTTCCCTAGGGGCTGAGAGATGTCTGCTGAGGTTCACGGAGCAGCACTCTACAGGCACTAACAAGTGGCATTTCAGAAGGATGTACAGAGGTACACAGGCTTTGCAGTAAAACAAGGGAAAATTTCAAGCCATTTATCAAAGCTCCTGCAGCTTCCATTTCAAGACAGGTGGAAAAAAATAACATGGAACAAGAAAAGAAAATAAATCTGTATCCAGAGCATCTCATAAATAAGAAAGAAGTTGGGGAGCTGTTGGCCTTGCCTGGCTCTCAGAGTATTTTTGTCACAGTACAGAAAGCTTTTTAAATGTTTTGGCATGAAATTCTTTTCCTTTTCCCATTATCAAAATCTCTGATTGTAAAGTTATTTCACTGGCTATTAAAACAAAATAAAGAAAATGATTTTAAGGAGAGAGAGGGGCTGGGAAAATGATATCTGGAGTGAGAGAGAGAGAAAGAAAGAAAAAAGTATAGTTCACCTCCAATTACAAAATATTTTTTTCATGTAAAATGTAGTGATGCTTCATAATTTATGGCAAGTCATTGAAAATCAAAGGCAATTTTTTTTCTAATTGGCTTTGCTCAGTAAGAGCTTATTTGTTTGAGACAATTAGGACGTGGTTTACTGAACATGGGAGAGACTTTGGTCTGTTTTAATGTCTGGGAGGGATGGAGAAATCATAACTTTTATTAAAAAGGATAGACCATAGGCCCACTCTGCCTGAGGGAACAGTGTTGATTGAGAAGAACTGCAACAACTGGGGACATCTTTGTGGAATTCCCAGCAATGTCAGGTTGGCGATCCACCTGGTGAAAAGCCTGTGGTCAGAGTTTATGTTCTGGCCCTGCTACATACTGGCTCTGCTACCCAAATGGTCAGTGCCTCAGTTTCCTTCTTGCCAAAGGAGGGTAATGATAGTATCTACCTGGTGAGAATTTTATGAGGATTAAGAGCTCCAAATGCAAGACATTTGGCACAATGCCTAGTACATAGTAGATGTTATTTTATTGGGACTATTTGCTAATTAGTTATATGGTTCTTTAAAAGAACCCTAAAAATCAATTATATTGTCTCTTAACTGTAAGGATTTTTTGAAACCAGCAGCGCCCTAATTGATACACCCAATGTGTGCTTGAGGAGGGTTGTGATTAATAGAAGGAGGCTTCATGGGGATCCTGGGAGCAAGATTCAAACAAGACTGAGGACTCTTTAGCCATGGTCATTATCTTCTCCCTGGTCAACTTCTCTAACACATAGCTTTGGGGATTTGTTGGAGTTAGATTCAGAGAAACTAATTTTTTTTTTTACTTGATTTCTTTTTTTCATGTATTTATTTTTGAAACTCACAGACCAACACTAGAAATAGGGCTGAAATAAATGTCATGTTTTTCCCTTTTACGTCTGGCCGCGCCTCCTTTGCAGGCTGGCCCGTGCTGTGTAGCGGCTAATATTGATTAGCCTACATTTTTCTCAGATAAACTTTTCTCAGTCTTTGTAAAGTCTAAATGCTAGAAGTACCAAAATAAATGCATTCAACTTTGAAATGGGTGATAAGGAGAAACATAGGAACAAAAGATTGTTGAGACATATTGTCCAAGAAGTCATTTCTTGCTCTGCTAAAGCCAGGACGTGAGGCGCTGGGCAAGGTTCTGAACCCATCCGAGCCTCAGTTTCCTCACCAGTAAAATAGGGATAACAGTCATACCTACCACAAGTGAGACTTTATACACGGAAAGTGCAAAATAGTGATCAGACCCAGAAAGTACTGAGCAATTATTCACTCTTTTATATCACTGTGTTCATGAAAATCTAATGTATCAAAGTCAAAATAATCAATTTCTATGTAATGAGGGAGTTTTACTATTTTTTGCTAAATAGCTGAAACTATTATAAACTCTTTAATTATGAGTACTTTTTAGACTAACTCTCTTATCATTTATTTCCAATTTAGACAGGACCCCACTGCATTTGACATGCCAAATGATTTTTTATTTTTGTTACCATTATATTTATTTTATGAGATATATCTTTCTTGTCATTAAAGCTTTCCAACATTTTAATAAATGAATCAGGATAAAATGTTAAAATAAAACATTCAAATCCTTGCAGTGACATAACCTCTAGCTATGGACAGGGATACTCTTGAAACCGTGGAACTGTGGCCAGTAGGCAGTACTGCTGTCCCCTAATTTTAGATGTTGTTTATTAGCTTATAAACAAAATTTCAAATCTGCATGGGAAAGACGGTTTAGCTGCACTCCTGAATGATGTAGGGAAGTGTGAGTTGTTGGAACCTTGAACAAGTGAACAGAAAGGACCTCCTGTACTGAAATTAGAAAAAATCGCCTTTAACCAAAATTTCCCTGGCAAAAGAGAGATCGAGCTGTTTAAAGTATTCAGGGACAAAATTAAAATATGTCATTTCATACAAATTATCTGGATCATAAAGGCTAAAGCAGTTTTTGTTTTTTTTTAACATTTATTTTTCATCTGTTTAACCTGGGGTGGGTGCAACTTGCCTTCCCTTAATTCATTTACCATTTGGCTCTGAATTTTCGGGACAGTTCTATGGTGATTGTTTTCAGTGATTAACGGTGGAGAGTGGTCTGCTGCTCTAAGCAGGAGTCTTATGGTGTTTCCCGAGTGAGCTCAAGCACACGGAGGACTCAGATGAGCCTGCTCCCTAGTTAAGGATGTTTGTAATTATTATTTAATCTTCAGGGTTCTCAGAGTCACATGTGACCACACGGCCAGACACTGTTCCTGAGAGTAGGCCCGGGAATCTGAATGTCATCCAGGCCTGTGCTCAGAGGCCTGTGGACTGTGTAACCCTGGACAGTTCGCGAAGCCTGTGCACACGTGAGGATGAGGGAGTTAAGGTGCGGCCAGGTCACGGCTTCCCGGAAGTCAGCATCTGACTTAAAGGGCAGAGGTGTGACTTTCTCCCAGGTCTTTCTCACCAAATGCTATTGGTTCCACTTTAGAGCAGCCACCAGAAATAAATTTTGTGTCATTTTCTTTTCCTCACAATGTCACGTGTGTTAGAATATTCCTATATTTTGATCTTCACCTCTGGTATCCCAGGTATAACAGCTGGCTTGGCTGAGCCTGGGGAGCTGTAGGAAGAAGCCCCTGCACCACCCCGGTGGGTTTACATGGAGATAGACGATGCCATCGTATTTGATCATTTGGAGCTTGCCTTGTCATACATCAGTCTCCAGGAGGGAAACCAGATCCCCGGTGGTCGGTGGAATCTCTGAAGAATTAACCTTATCAAACGTTTTGTTTTAATCACAGAATCATGTGAACCCTGCCATGGACTTCACCCAGACTCCTCCTGGAATGTTGGCTCTGGACAACATGCTGTACTTTGCTAAGCACCATCAGGACGCGTACATCCGGGTAAGCCTGTAGGCCCTTCTCAGATATTTTATGGTTCCTACAGAATTTTAATGCCAAACTTACAAAATCCTGGGGGGGATTACCTTTAGATGAGTGACCCCAGATTTTTGGCTTTCTCAGTAAACTAAAAAAAAATATATATCAAAATTAAGTGAAATCGGTTGGGGGACTGAAATGGGGATTTTTAACTTTTAAACTTTTCTACATGATGACATTTTTAAAAAATACAGTCGATACTAGAAAAACATTTCAATTCATATTGAATTACGACAAAAACCCTTAAACTTGAATAACAAGGAACAGAAATACACTATCTACCCAAATGACCTCGAATTTAGTGGAGACCCTGTTAGACTTATTTCCCAAGTTGGAAAGAGGCCCAGGATTCTCTCTGGCATCCTGTTTCTGTTCGGTCTAATGCTGGAGATACAATAGGATAAACAAAAAGAAAGAGAAAAATGGGAGAGATGGGGAGGGAAGACAAATGCCTTCTCACATTTCACAACAGACTATTCAAACTCCAGGGACTAAGTTAGCTCAGCTTGTGAGTGGGGCAGAAGGAAGTGGAGGTCCCTGTGAAATAGAAGATGCCACCTGCTGATGGGACCGTGCCAGCGTGGAGAAGACACAGTGTGAATGAATGAGAAGCTGAGGCAAAGTGACGTAGAACAGTGGCCCCCAACCTTTTTGGCACCAGGGACCAATTTCAGGGAAGATAATTTTTCCACGGACTGAGGTGGGGGGTGTTGTGGGTTGGGGAGAGGTGGTGCAGAGCTCAGGAGGTGATACGCAGCCTGTTTCCTAACAGGGCTCGGACTGGGGGGTGGGACTGCAGACTTAAAAGGCTCATTCATGAGGGTTGCTCAGTTACAGCCCCAGATTTGTGCTGACGCCTCTCCCCGTCCTCAGGGGGAAAAGCTCAGATTCATTCAGCATGAGATAGACCCAGGATGTTCTCTCCTGGATTCTCAGTGGTACTGGCTTCCTGGAAACCTGGGTTTGAGACCTGGGCACTGTCTTTTATCCAGTGATACACACGTGGGCAGTTCCTTTTGTCTGGGCTTAAGTTTCTGTATAAGCAAGGGAGACTGACTGGTCCTCAGCTGGAACAGTATTCATTCCCCTAGAGGGCATTTGGAAATGTGCAGGCATGTTTCTTTGGTTGTCACCATGCCTAGCGGGATGCTACTGGCCAGACCTGTAATCTATGGGACAATCCGCACTATGAAAAATTGTACCACCCAGCAGTGGCCCCCTTAAATAAAGCCATGCCAGATCTCTGAGCTCTCTGTAGGCAAAATATTTTTAAGTTATGTGTTTTAATGTACATGCAATTTGGGAAGCTTTGACCTATTCTGAAATGTTATTATTAATCATATTTGTAATTTGATTACATAGAGGATTTTATGGTTATTTCTTTGAAAGGTTTGGGATCAGGTGTTTGGTCAGAAATGCAGTCCTCCATAAGAAAATTATTTTTTCATAAAGCTTTGATTTCACTTATGTGTGTATATGTTTATTATACAAATGTTTTCAAGGAATGTAATCCATATTCCTAGTAAGTAAATTAATATTTTTGAGATGCCGTGTTGTATAGCCTTGAAGGGTTGAGTATGAAAATAGAAGCCACGTAGAAATTGAATTTACCATTAACTGATTAATGTTTGCAGATGAATGTTTCTGAAATGCAGATGCAGCATTCATTGATGCTGAATGTATTGTTAATTGCATAAGAAACATATGTCTCATGAAAAGTAATTTTGTGTTTGAAGCCTATTCTCCTTAATGCATTCTCCAAACCTGCGGTCCCCAACCTCCACCCCGGCCCCCGTCCTTTTTCCATGAAACTTAGGAACCAGGGAGCTGTAGTGGAAGAGGGAGGGAAGCTTCACCTGTATTTACAGCTGCTCCCCATCTCTGGCATCACCGCTTGAGCTGTGCTCCCCCGACTCCAGTCTGTGGAAAGTGTTTTCCATGAAACCTGTTCCTGGTGCCAAATCGGTTGGGACCGCCGCAAACGTTGTGAAATTGATACCATGGCAACCTGACAGAACTTTATATCTGATAGGGGCTTAAAAGACAAACCTATTTGTAAAGATAAATGTGGCTATTTTGTGTCCACATGCACTTTTCATCATCGGTTAGACATTTCTATATCTCAGATATCTTTATCCCTGGTTTTTTCCTGTGTCTCATCTGACTTCGGGGCATTTACTAGATAGAAAACTAAAGTTATTTCCATGAACGGATGGGGTTAGTGGATCATTTATAAAGTCTGAGGCTTTCTGCAGGGAAGTTTTGGGGTGAGTATGAAAATAGGTATCTCAGTGACAGTGCAGTAGTGCTGTAGAGTGAAAATAGGATGGTGGACAGCTGATTGAATTTTGATCCATGAACTGAGTGGTCTCTTCTGAAACCTAATGAAGGACTCATTTTAAGTTTCAATAAAATCTGCATTTTTTGATGATGTAAATTTCCCATATGAATTCAATTATGCATTTATTATTTATGTATTTCATTTGATAGATGCTTATTTCGTAGCTTAATGTAGCCTGACCATTCACCTTCTTTGCCAGTTAGATTTATGGTTGAGATCTTTTGTAAAGGAATTGTCTCACACACACACAATTGTCTTCTTCTGTGAAGGAATTGTGCCCCCCCACACCCAGGTATCACACCAGGTACCCGTGTGTTCCAAGTTGTCCCCTTGCCTATGTTCTCGCTCAGCTGCCACTCCCTTTTCAACACCCTCCACCAAGACATCTATCCATCGCTTTCCGGAAGCTGTCCTGCCCAATGCAGGCCATTCTCGCCATCCTTCATCTCATCTGCCCTGTCCCGGACACCTGGCAGTGTTTCCAGTGACCAGTCCTCCCTTCTTGCCCCTGCAGCCGGTGCTGTATGTCCTGGTTCTCTCCTAGACCATCGCTCTTCGTCCCCCTAGTGGGTTTCTCTTCTGCCTGCCTGCCTGTGCAGCTTTGCTCTTCCCAGCTGAGCAGGCTGCACGTGCTTCCTGAGTGACTATCCCATGCCCAGCAGTGCCCAGGGGGTGGGGTGTCCTCAAGGAACAAGGTGCTCAGGGGTTCTGATGCTTGGCGATTCACTGTCTGGAGATGGAAAGGAGGGGTGGCGGTGTGTGTGTGTGTGGGGAGGGGGGTGAAGAGACAAATACCAGGCAGTTTTCAAGTCACTTGGCACGTGTCTCAATTGGGGAGGGGGACACGGGGTGCTCCGAGGAGAGTTGCCAACACAGATGTGGGGGTCATGTCAGGAAACCTTCTTAGGAAGTGGCATCTGGGCTCAGAGCATTGATAGTACTGGTTAACCAGGGGAAGGGGAGAATGTGGGGAGAGCATTGCACGAGGAGGGCACCTCGTGAGCAAAGGCTCAACGGCTGTGTGTGCCCTGTTCAGAGAGACAGACCGTCGTCATAGGATGGCCGAGACGGGGAGTGACAAATGCCTTCATGGCTTGAGAGTCAGATGTGGGCTAGTTCACTGGGGACATTTAAGCCATTTTAAAGGGTTTATTTGGACCTAAAGGCAGTGAAGAATTTTTGAAGTGTTTTAAGTAAAGATGATGAGAATTAATTTTAGAAAAACCACTCTCCCACTAGTAAACCAATGCGAGAAATCAAAACTAGAAGCAAAAATAAAATTTGGGAAATTAAAGAGAAATGAAGGTACCCTGACCTAGGGTGGTGGGAGTGGCAATGTAGAGAAGCAGGTTGAATGAATTACTTTGGAGCTAAAACACACTGGACCACCCTCTCCGAGGAAGAGGGCAATTTCTGGCTTGAAGGATGGTGGATGTGGTGTTATTAAGGAAACAGATAATCCAGGTCTGCCAGGGGACAGGCATTTGGAGCATCCAGACTTATATGCACTTGGAACGTCTGTTTGGGGGGGCTGTGTGGTAGGCAGTGAGATCCGGGTGGCAGATCTCAGACCCATGAAGACAACACATTGCCTATGTTCTACCTCCTCGAGCATCTCTTGTTCCCTCCAATCCATTCATCTGTATTGTTGCAATGTTATCTTAACAGCCTCCCTGCGAAAACCTGGTACCTTCAAATCCACTTCCCACGCTGACTGCTAGAACAATCTTCTAAACATAGTGCAGGATGCCTTGGGGAGCACCCCTGGCCCACAGCCTGTCTCTGGGGCTTTATCTCTTGCTGCCCACTCCCCTTTCTCTCTTCTCCATCCTCCCACTGCCATGGTAGCCTGGTCCATACAAAATGACGGTATGCCACAAGCACGTCCCCACCGCTGTGTCTTTGCTCCCATGCCTGATTTCGCCCAAGTGCCTGTCCCACCATCTGCCTGTTGGACAACCCTCATGGGAAAGGTCATTTTCTCTCTGAAGACTTCCTGCGCCTCTACCTGGCCGACTCCATCCACTCTCTTGTACACACTTACGGTTTAATTCCTAGAACATTTTATAGCTTTAAATGTCTTTACCTTCCTTCTCCCCTAGTTGATTGTCAACTCCTTGTGAACAGGCACCATGGATCGTTTATATTCTAGCCACTGGCATAGTGCCCAGCACACAATGGCTTTTAACAATTTCTTGTTAATTACATGAGTAAAGACTAATTCTTGTTTAAATGGTCTCTTGCCGATGATCAATTGTTTTTTTATTATCTGAGAATCATGCATGGCCTTTGTTCCTTACAAAAGTTATAAACGTGTATCTTTGCCACATGAATTTTGTGACGGATGGAGTGGTTTCTCATGTCATATTTGAATAAACTTTTGTAACTGTGTAGTAATGAAAGCGGTGGCTGTAATTGAATTACCCGACACTTGGACGGGCACAGAACATGAGGAGGAATTGCAAATCCGAGCATCCCACTGTGCATGGAGTAAAATCTGGAGGCATAGCATGATTTCTGACTTCTGAGCCTTATTTACTCTGGGCATAATTGCTTTCACTTTGCTGGAGATGCTTCCCCCTCAACTCTAAACTCCATGGGAGCTGCACTGGGCCCTCGCTAT